GAGAGAGAGAAACAGAAAAACAAACAAACAAAACTCCACCTCTCCCTTTTTTTCAGATTGGCTCTGTGCTGGGATTATCCTTTAATATTTATGCAGTCTTGCTCTGAGCCTAGGCATAAGCCCAGGGTGAAAGCGTCAGGTCTCTGCAGGTCTTTTCTGGGTATGTGTCTTGTGCTGTGCATGCATGTGGCTTTCTAAATACCCCTTATACACAGCTGCTTTTGAACGTACTAACTTTCCAAGCTTCTCCTCTGGGCTGTATATGATCTGTTGTGTGTCTCCACTCGTAATCCCTTGCCTCAGATGTCTTTTAGGAGCAGTGGCTGTTGCTTTGTCCACCTGACTTCCACCTGACGTGAAAGAGAAGCAAGTGCCTCACATTTCTTTATGTTGCAGTTCTTTAGGTCTCCCCAACACAGGTTAGAATGTATATACACAGTAATTTGCAAATAAGGGTGCCTCAGCTTCCACTGGTTTGAGGGAGGGGATTAGAAACTGTGTTGACATCACTTCAAGATGAAGACTTCTGCTGTGCCAGAGAGGGGGTGGGGCATGGTTGAGTAGAAACACCGGAAAACTTTCCTACTGTCTTTTTTTTTTGTTTTTTGTTTTGGCTACACCACGTGGCATGTGGGATCTTAGTTCCCCGACCAGGGATCAAACCTGCATCCCACTGCAATGGAAGCATGGTGTCTTAACCACTGGACTGTCAGGGAAGTCCCCTACTATCTTTTTTTTTAACACCTTTATTGGAGTGTAATTGCTTTACAATGGTGTGTTAGTTTCTGCTTTATAACAACGTGAATCACCTATACATATACATATATCCCCATATCTCCTCCCTCTTACATCTCCCTCCCACCCTCCCTATCCCACCCCCCTAGCTGGTCACAAAGCACCGAGCTGCTCTCCCTGTGCTATGCAGCTGCTTCCCACTAGCTACCTATTTTACATTTGATAGTGTATATATGTCCATGCCCCTCTCTCACTTCGTCCCAGCTTACCCTTCCCGCTCCCCGTGTCCTTAAGTCCATTCTCTATGTCTGCATCTTTATTCCTGTCCTACCCCTAGGTTCTTCAGAACCATTTTTTCTTTTAGATTCCATATATATGTGTTAGCATATGGTATTTGTTTTTCTCTTTCTGACTTACTTCACTCTGTATGACAGACTCTAGGTCCATCCACCTCACTACAAATAACTCAATTTCATTTCTTTTTATGGCTGAGTAATATTCCATTGTATATATGTGCCACATCTTCTTTATCCATTCATCTGTCAATAGACACTTAGATTGATTCCATGTCCTGGCTATTGTAAATAGAGCTGCAATGAACATCGTGGCACATGACTCTTTTTGAATTATGGTTTTCTCAGGGTATATGCCCAGTAGTGGGATTGCTGGATCATATGGTAGTTCTATTTTTATTTTTTTTAAGGAACCTCCATACTGTTCTTCATAGTGGCTGTATCAATTTACATTCCCACCAACAGTGCAAGAGGGTTCCCTTTTCTCCACACCCTCTCCAGCATTTATTGTTTGTAGGTTTTTTGACGATGCCCATTCTGACTGGTGTGAGGTGATACCTCATTGTAATTTTGATTTGCATTTCTCTAATGATTAGTGATGTTGAGCATCCTTTCATGTGTTTTTTGGCACTCTGTATATGTTCTTTGGAGAAATGTCTATTTAGGTCTTCTGCCCATTTTTGGCTTGGGTTGTTTGTTTTTTGATATTGAGCTGCATGAGCTGCTTGTATATTTTGGAGATTAATCTTTTGTCAGTTGCTTTGTTTGCAAATATTTTCTCCCATTCTGAGGGTTGTCTTTTCATCTTGTTTATGTTTTCCTTTGCTGTGCAAAAGCTGTTAAGTTTCATTAGGTCCCATTTGTTTATTTTTGTTATTATTTCCATTTCTCTAGGAGGTGGGTCAGAAAGGATCTTGCTGTGATTTATGTCAAGAGTGTTCTGCCTATGTTTTCCTCTAAGAGTTTGATAGTGTCTGGCTTTACATTTAGGTCTTTAATCCATTTTGAGTTTATTTTTGTGTATGGTGTTAGGGAGTATTCTAATTTCATTCTTTTACATGTAGCTGTCCAGTTTTCCCAGCACCACTTATTGAAGAGGCTGTCTTTTCTCCATTGTATATTCTTGCCTCCTTTATCAAAAATAAGGTGACCATATGTGTGTGTGTTTATCTCTGGGCTTTCTAACCCGTTCCATTGATCTATATTTCTGTTTTTGTGTCAGTACCATACTGCCTTGATTACTGTAGCTTTGTAGTATAGTCTGAAGTCTGGGAGCCTGATTCCTCCAGCTCCGTTTTTCTTTCTCAAGATTGCTTTGACTATTCAGGGTCTTTTGTGTTTCCATACAAATTGTGAAGTTTTTTGTTCTAGTTCTGTGAAAAATGCCATTGGTAGTTTGATAGAGATTGCACTGAATCTGTAGATTGCTTTGTGTAGTATAGTCCTTTTCACAATGTTGATTCTTCCAATCCAAGAACATGGTATATCTCTCCATCTGTTTGTATCATACTTGATTTCTTTAATCAGTGTCTTATAGTTTTCTGCATACAGGACTTTGTCTCCTTAGGTAGGTTTATTCCCAGGTATTTTATTCTTTTTGTTGCAATGGTAAATGGGAGTGTTTCCTTAATTTCTCTTTCAGATTTTTCATCATTAGTATATAGGAATGCCAGAGATTTCTGTGCATTAATTTTGTATCCTGCTACTTTACCAGATTCATTGATTAGCTCTAATAGTTTTCTGGTAGCATCTTTAGGATTCTCTATGTATAGTATCATGTCATCTGCAAAGAGTCACAGCTTTACTTCTTCTTTTCTGATGTGGATTCCTGTTATTTCTTTTTCTTCTCTGATTGCTGTGGCTAAAACTTCCAAAACTGTGTTGAATAATAGTGGTGAGAGTGGACAACCTTGTCTTGTTCCTGATCTTAGAGGAAGTGGTTTCAGTTTTTCACCATTGAGAACAATGTTGGCTGTGGGTTTGTCATATTCCCCTGCTGTCTTGAAGATGGCTTTTTCCTGGTTGAGCTCTTGCTTGGTTGCTGCAGACCTTTGAATTTTTTCCAGAGCTCCAACTTTTTAAAGTTGATTCTGACAGTTCTGCTTGTTTTTATAAATAAATTTATTTATTTATTTATTTTTGGTTGTGTTGGGTTTTTGTTGCTGCACATGGGCTTTCTCTAGTTGCAGCAAGCAGGATCTACTCTTCGTTGCAGTGTACGGGCTTCTCTTTGCGGTGGCATCTCTTGTTGCAGAGCATGGGCTCTAGGTGCGTGAACTTCAGTAGTTGTGGCACTCAGGCTCAGTAGTTGTGGCTCATGGGCTTAGTTGCTCCGTGGCATGTGGGATCTTCCTGAACCAGGGATCGAACCCGTGTCCCCTGCATTGGCAGGCAGATTCTTAACCACTGCACCACAAGGGAAATCCTCTGCTTGTTTTTTCAGTGTTTTTGTGGGAAAACAAGAGCTTGGAGCTTCCTAGTTCACCATTTTGCTGATATCACTCCCTCTGTGATTTTGTGCATCTTGCCTTTCTCCTCGTGTTTGATGCCTCAGGGCCACAAGGTGGTTGCTACACCTCCAGACATTCCATCTATGTCTAGGGCAGTGAAAAGGGAGAAATGCTAGAATACCATGCCCGCTGCATACACCCCATTTAATGAGGGAAACAGAAGCCTTCATGTTGGAGAAAGAAGATCATGAGAAGCTGATGGAGTAGGATGTACCAGGAATCTGTCTCCCCACCTAGACAACAATTGCACTGGCAGAACTTGTCTGATGTAACTATTTTGGAAATCTGGAGTCTGTTGAAGGCTTGCAGCTTCCAGGGGAAGACTTGGAGGGTAAACTGGGGTTAATTTTTCTCGATTTCAGCCCTTTGTACAGTAGCACCTACCCATCCCCAACTTGCAGCCTGTTGCAGGCAGCTGTGCGCAACAGCTAGCTGGAGCCAGGGTGGACAAAAAGGACCCTATCCTCCAGATACTGGGGATCTGTGCTCTGATGGCTGATTGCTGGTTCAGGTCACAGAGGTGCAGACAAATAGTCACCTCCCCAGTTGTTGCAAGCCCCTCCCCCTCCAGGCGAAGTGACCTCCAGAAGGTTTAAAGGACCAGTGCTCTTTTATTCCCACCTTCATTTTTCACTTTTTGCTGTCTCGGGCCAGACATTAAAATCTAGGACATTCAAAAACAACTGCATATACAGAGAAAATTAGAAAGTGACCCTGCATACCCAGGAAAAGTCTAAAAAAGGACTTGAGAAGACCTTAAGTTTATACCTTAGGTTGATCCTGGGCACAGAGACAGCCTATAACAATCAGAAAACAATACACAATAAACAACCTGAAACTAACGCAACATCATAAATCAATTATACTCCAATAAAAATTTAAAAAAAGCAATACACGATAAACAAAAACATAACAAACCCCCACAAACCCTGGGGAAGGAGAGGAATCTGATTTCCAGAGTTCCCTCATTATTAAATTCACATGTCCAGTGTTCAACAACAACAACAAAAATCACAAGGCATACAAAGAAACAGAAAAGTATGACCCATTCAAAGGGAAAAAAAAATCGACAGAAACAGTCTTTGAAAAATATCTACTGGCAGAAATACTAGACAAAGGCTTTAAAACAACTGTCCTAAAGATGTTGGAAGAACTAAAGGAAAGGGACTTCCCTGGTGGTACAGTGGTTAAGAATCCACCTGCCAATGCAGGGGACACAGGTTCGAGCCCTGGTCCGGGAAGATACCACATGCTGCGGAGCAACTCAGCCCATGAACCACAACTACTGAACCTCTGCTCTGGAGCCTGCGAACCACAACTACTGAGCCCGTGTGCTGCAACTACTGAAGCCCATGTGCCTAGACCCTGTGCTCTGCCACAAGAGAAGCCACTGCAATGAGAAGCCCACGCACCACAACAAAGAGTAGGCCCCGCTCGCCACAACTAGAGAAAGCCCCCATGCAGCAACGAAGACCCAACGCAGCCAAAGATAAACTAAAAAAATAAATAAATTTATATAAAAACAAGAAAAATCAGTGAATTGAAGATAGGATAATGTAAATTATGAAGTCTGAGAAAGAGAAAGAAAAAAATTTGAAGAAAAGCAAATGGAGCCTAAAGGACTTGTAGGACAATATCCATCATACCAACCTATGCATCAAGGAGTCTCAGGAGAATAAAGAGAGAAAGGGGCAGAGAAAATATTTGGAGAAATAATGGTGGAAAACTTTCTAAATTTGATGAAATAAATGAACATAAACATTCAAGAAACAATGAACTCCAAGTAATGTGAACTCAGATCCATACCAAGACATATTATAATCAAATTTACAAAAGCCAAAAAGATGATCTTGAAAGCAGCAAGAGAGAAGCAAATTGTTACATACACGGGATTCTCAAAAAGATTATCAGCAAGTTTCTCATCAGAAACCTTGGAGTCCATAAGATGTTGGGCTGATATATTCAAAATGCTAAAAGGAAAAAAGCTGTTAACAAGAATCCTATATCTGGCAAAACTGTCCTTCAAAAGTGAGGGAGAAATTAAGACATTCCCACATAAACAAAAACGGACGGAGTTTGTAACCATTAGATCTTCCCTGCAAGAAATGCTCAAAGGAGTGCTACAAGGACACTAAACAGTAACTCAAAGCCATATGGAGATATAAAGATCTCAGTAAAGGTACGTGGGCAATTATAAAAGCTATCTCACTGTAACAATGATTTATAACTACAATTTTTGTTTCCTACATGATTTAAGAAACTAATTTAAAAAAACTGTGAAAACTAGTATTACTGTACCTTGGTTTGTAACCCCAAATCTTACTTTCTATGTAATTTAAGAGCCAGATGCATTTGAAATAATTATTAGTTTATGTTTTTGGATGCATAATATATAAAGATGTAATTCTGTGACAACAGCTGAAAGAGGTGGAGACAGAGCTGTAGAGGAACAGAGTTTTATATGTTATTGAACTTAAGCTGGTATAAATAAAAACTAGAGTGTTATAAGTTTAGGATGTTAAAGACCTAAACTTTAGAGCTGAAAGTATAAAACTCTTAGAATAAAACATAGGACAAAATTTTATGACATTGGATTTGGCAATGATTCCTTGGATATGACACCAAAAGCACATTTAGCAAAAGGAAAAATAGAGAAATTTGACTAAATGAAAATTAACTTTTTGCATCAAAAGTCACTGTCAACATAGTAAAAAGACAACCCACAGAATGGGGGAAAATATTTGCAAACCATATATCTGACAAAGGATTAATATCCAGATTATAGAGAGAACTCCTAAAACTCAACATCAAAAACCAAAACAAACAAGAAAAAAACCTAATTAAAAAATTGGCAAAGGACTTGAATAGACATTTCTCCAAAGAAGATATATGAATGACAAATAAGCACATGAAAAGAGGCTCGACATCACTAGTCATTAGGGAAATGAAAATCAAAACTACAATGGGATACCACCTCACACCCATTAGGATGGCTACTATCAAAAAACTAGAAAAGCACAAGTGTTGGCAAGGAAATGGAGAAATTGGAACACTTGTGCACTGTTGGTGATACCATAAAATGGTATAGCTGCTGTGGAAAATAGTATGGCGGTTCCTCAAAAAATTAAAAATAGAACTGCCATACGGTCCCATAATTCCATACCTAGGTATATTCTCCAAAGAACTGAAGCAGAGTCTGGAAGGGATATTGTACACCCGTGTTCATAACAGCATTATTCACAATAGCCCAAAAATGGAAGCAAGTGTCCATTGACAGATGGATAAGCAAAATGTGGTGTATACATACAATGGAATATTATTCAGTCTTAAGAAAGAAGGAAATTTTGCAAGATGGATGAATCTTGAAGACATTATGTTAAATGAAACAAGCCAGTAACAAAAAGACAACTACTGTATGATTCTACTTATATGTGGTACTTAGAGTAGTCAGATTCATGGAGACAGAAAGAAGAATGGTAGTTGCCAGAGCCTGGGAGGAGGGGAAGATGGGGAGACAACATTTAATGGTACCGAAGTTCAGTTTTACCGGACGAAATGAGTTAGGAGGATGGATGGTGGTGATGGTAGCACAACAGTGTGAATGTCTTTAAGACCACTGAACTGTACAGTTAAAAATGGTTAAGAGGGCTTCCCTGGTGGCGCAGTGGTTGAGAGTCCACCTGCCGATGCAGGGGACACGGGTTTGTGCCCTGGTCCGCGAAAATCCCACATGCTGTGGAGTGGCTGGGCCCGTGAGCCATGGCCGCTGAGCCTGTGCGTCCGGAGCCTGTGCTCCGCAACGCGAGAGGCCACGACAGTGAGAGGCCCGTGTACCGCAAAAAAAAAAAAAAAAAGGTTAAGAAGGTAAATTTTATGGTATGTGTATTTTATGAACACAAAAAAATGTATGCACAAAGAGCAGCGGTTTTCAGTGGTTCGGGTTTAGGGAGAGCAAAGGATGAACAGGGGATTTTTAGGCTGAGACACTATTCTGTATAATATAATAATTGTGGATACATGTCGTTATACACTTGTCAAATCCCATAGAATGCACACACCAAGGGTGAACTCTAAGGTGAACTATGGACTACAGTGAATAATAACATGTCAATATTGGCTCATTGATTGCAACAAATGTGCCACACGGTAATGCAGGAGAGTCGTAACAGATGAAACTGTTGAGGGGATGAAAGGGCATGAGGGAGCTATGTACCTTCTGTTCAGTTAAGAAAAAAAAATTTTTTTAGAAGGATATTTATTTATTTATTTATGTTTGGCTGCGTTGGTTCTTCGTTGCTGCGAGCAGGCTTTCTCGAGTTGCATTGAGTGGGGGCTACTCTTCGCTGTGGTGCTCGGGCTTCTCATTGCGGTGGCTTCTCTTGTTGCGGACCATGGGCTCTAGGTGCGTGGGCTTCAGTAGTTGTGGCACGTGTGCTCAGTAGTTGTGGCTCGCGGGCTCTAGAGTGCAGGCTCAGTAGTTGTGGCACACAGGCTTAGTTGTTCCGCGGCATGTGGGAACTTCCCGGACCAGGGCTCGAACCCGTGTCCCCTGCGTTGGCAGGTGGGTTCTTAACGACTGTGCCACCAGGGAAGTCCCCCCAAATTTTTAAAGTTGAAATATAGTTGTTACAATGTTGTGTTTGCTCAATTTTTCTATAAACATAAGACTGCTCAACACAAGACTATTTTTTCTTAAAAGAAGCCTTCACATTGGCCAGAACAGGATCACGGGACCACTGCTGGCTGGAAAGGAGGCTGGGAGAGCAGGGAGCAGCATCTCTCACCTGGACTGTGGACACAGTCCTTCACCAAATAGAATTGGGGTCTGATGGCAAAGAAGATGAAGGGTCCACTAAGTGACCAGGTTCCAAATCTCAGCCTGTAGGCTGGTTACCCCTGTGAGCTGGAAATGACCATAAACTGTTCACATCACTGCTGGTCAGAGCATTGCACACACAGTTAGCCAGATGCCATGGCCTGGACCAGTGACTGGTGGAGCATCACCGTCTTACCCTGACCTCTCAGCCCAGACTGCAAACCCTCAGCACGCTCCTGGGGTGCAGAGAGGCAAGCCAGTGAGGCGTGCTGCGTCGGCCAGGCATCCCTGACCACAGGAGGCTCCTATGCTGGCAGCTGGCCCCTCCTCGCCACCTCCTGAGCTTAGCAACAGTGTTCAGCTCCAGTTCCCTCTCTGGGACTGCTGGGGCAGGTTCAATCCTGCTAGTAATAAAGGAGAATCGAAAACGAGACATCTTTTTACAGTTATTAAATTTGTAAAGTCTGACAACAGATCGAACACACAGTGAAGGTGAGGCTAGTGACTTGGCACTTTTGGTTACTGCTGGTGTCAGTGAAAAGAGTCGCAACCCTTGGGGAATCCATGTGTGTCCACCATCTGACCCCTTCACCCGACACCAATAAGCAAGAGTCTGATAATTAGTCAAGACATCCTAGATTAGATTAGCCCAAGGGGAGAGCTGATGAACTGTGTGTACTTAGGGCTGTAGACGTGGTACTCGTCAACACTCCCATCTCATCTCTAGAATCCTGGATTAAGGAAGATAAATACAAAATAGAGGAAATACAGTTAGGCACAAAGATATCAACCAAAAACTTCTTTATTGGAAGCAGCTGACCTTTGGCACTAGGAGAGCAGGCAATCCCTCACTCTGTGGGACACAGCCCAGTGACACACACACTAGTCAGAGTCTGAAGGAAGTGTTGAGTCTGCGCTAAATGTCAGGAGATAAAGTGGGATACGGGAGTGTACAAAAACTGTGCTCACAACAGAAGTCTGTGCCTGGGGCGTGGCCTCGGAGACCCCACACGTGCCCAGGGAGCCAGGTGGTGAGATTGCGGCTGAGAGTTTTCGTCTTTTACTCAGAGCTGGATACTGCTGCTTTCCCCCTGTGTGTGTTTCGGAGAAGATCCCAGAGGCCACACATCTGGGCTCCGTCTCTGTGGGCCTCCCCTAGGGTCAAACTAGGTCAAGAGGGTGTGCCCGGGGGCTCCACAAGTGCCAGAGGGGCCTGGGGCTGAAGCTGCAGAGAATGTCCTCAACCAGTGACCAAAGAAGATGATGGACAAGCACACACCCTTGGGGCAGGCTCCGCATCATCTTCCGGAGGTTCCCCGTGAGGCTGTGGGTACTCAAGCCGGAGCCCACTCTTTTTTTTTTTTTGTGGGCCGCGCAGCACACAATGCGGGATCTTAGATCCCCGACCAGAGACGGAACCGGTGCCCCCTGCAGTGGAAGCATGGAGACCTAACCACTGGACCACAAGGGAAGTCCAAGGAACCCACTCTTCAATGCACTCTGGTTGCTTCCTTCCATCCCCTGGCTCATCCCCACTGTCTGCTGGTGCCCTCTGGCACCACCTTCCAAATCAACTCTTTGCACTGGAATCCCTGCCTCAGCGTCTGCTTCGGGGGATAGACATCTAGGAGAGAGGACAGAGCCTATCTGGGAGACGGAGCTGGATTCCCAGCATCTGCCTGCCATGGTGTATGGGGGCGGGGCCCGGGAGGTGCCGGATGGAGGTCACTGCACACGGCAGCCCCTGGGCCGTTGGCTCTCCTCTCCACCGTGGCTGACTGGGGGCTTAGGGGTCCGCCGGCACCTGCCCTGGCATCCCCCCTTGGCGTCTGGTTCCCCCGCTCTTGGCTTCTGTCTTCCCCTGTATGTGTTGGGTGGCTCCCTCCGAGTCAGGCCAGGGTCTATGAAGCAAACACAAGACCAGGGAGACAGCAGTTTCCTTCCGGCAGCTGCCTGTGGCAGGTGGCCACATGAGAGATAGCCCCCCCCCGGGCTGACCTTATCTGCTCAGCCTTGGCATGGGGGCCAAGGTCTGACCCATTCTGGTGATAGGGAGAGCCCAAGGGAGGCCTCAGAGCTCCCTATCTGGAAGGAGCAGAAGGTGAATGAAGTGTAACCTGGGCCCAGGGGGGGCGGGGCTGCTTGCCTGGGGCTCCCAGCGACACTCAGCTCCTCCATGGTTGGTGGGGACAGACCCGGGCACGGGACATAAGGGAGGGGCCGGGGGCGGAGGAGCGAGGCTTTGTGTACCCTTCACACCTGGGGTCTCTGTGCACTGTCAGACCCCAGTGAGCTGGTGTTTGCCCCTCCACCCAGAGGAGACTACTGTCACTGTGTCACTCCACCCCTAACTGCCCCCTCTGTTATCGGGTTGTTAATATTAATTAACAACAGTTGCTAAGGATGACAGTGCAAGGGTGTGTCCCAGCCAGAGCTGGCCTGGACCCAAGAGGGTGCTGGGGAGACTGGGGGGTCTGAGGCTGGGGCTTGGGGGCGCGAAGAGAGGTTCAGAGGGCCGGTGCCTGGGCCCAGCCACGTCTTGCACTTGTCTCTGGGCCTGGGACCTCCTGCAGCAGAGGCCGCTTGGGGAGCTCACGGGAAGTCTCTGGCTCACTCAGTCCTCTGGCCTTAGTCACTTTGGGAAGTGGATGAAGGGGACACCCCGGGAGGCTCAACTGAGAGGGTGCAGCCAAAGGTTGGAGGGAGAAGTGAGGTGGATCATTAACCAGCTGGGAGCCCTGGGAGGTGCAGGGCTCAGCCCCATTGGTCCCCAACTCAATCGGGTGACACTGTCCCGGGTGGGGAAGCTGCCTCGTAGGCCGTCCCCAGTTTTAGTATATGTACGGCCGCAGTGAGCTCTGTGTGTTGCCAGGAGCCAGCCCTTGGCTGTCCCCAAGTCCTGGCCTCACTTACCCTCTGACCCCTTCCCAGTGCCAGGATGGTGGAGGTCGGCCTGAAGGGCTGGCTGCTCTGGGCTCTGCTCCTGAAGTCGGTGAGTCCTAGGCCCTATGTCCACCCCGGGCAGGGGGCTGCTTGGCAACAGTGAGAGAGGGCCTGGGGTCTGGGGAGGGGGCAGTTTCTAAACAGATGAGGGATCCCAGGCTCCCAGAGGAGGGGTGCAGGTCGAGGGCCCTGAGCTGCTCAAGTCTTCAGGTCGTGGGGTTAGATGGACACAAGCGTTGAGCAGGGGGTAGCTGGACTGCGTGTGACTGAGTGCCTCCCATTCCTGGTCCTCTGTGGGTGTCCTGGCCTAAGACAGTTGGTGGAAGGTTAAAGGAGGAGCCAGTCCCGGGGTGCTGACGGCATGGGTTCAGGGGGAGAATCACCTAATGAGGATTTAGCATCTAGGTTTGGGAGGAGGTCTTGCCTCGCAAGTTTCTTGCTCATTTGCACGCCTGGGAAGGTGGGTGAAGGCTTTCAGCCCCCAGCAGGTAAGGGCAGGGGAAGCTCTGCTCAGAATCTCCAAGAGGGGCCCTGGCTGCAGCTTGGGCACGGTGGCAGCCGCCAGCAATGGCAATGGTGCCCCAGGTGCACAGGGCCTGCATCCACACGGCCCCTTGGAGCAGCCCTCCGCCTGTCCAGGGGTCATCGTTTCTCAGCAGGACCACACAGTGGCTTCCAGGGGTCCCCTGGGTGACCCCGTTCTCACTACTGTCCCCTTACCCTCTGGAGTGACCTTGCTAAGGCAGATGTGCCAGGTCACCTCTCTCTCCAGTGACCCTGTCGCTCAGGGTGGAAGCCTGGCTGTTCCCATCCGCTCACCACCCTCAGACCCCACTGGGAGCCCCACGTGCTGCTTCGGCGCCCCACCTCCTCCAGCACTCCCCCAGGATCCCTGGCGTCCTGGACCTGCCTGGCGTCCACCCCTCACCCGCCCTGCTCTGCTTCCTTCTCCATGCCTGTCCTGGCTGCCCGCTGCCCCATCAGCTACCCGGAGGTGCTGGCCGGCGCTGGGGCTCGGGGTGATGCTGCCCTGTTCCACAGGCCCAGAGCGAGCTGTACACGCCCATACACCGGCCCGGATACTGTGCCTTCTACGACGAGTGCGGGAAGAACCCGGAGCTGTCTGGAAGCCTGGCTTCACTGACCAACGTGTCCTGCCTGGACAACACGCCTGCTCGCCACGTCACGGGTGACCACCTGACCCTCCTGCAGAGCATCTGTCCCCGCCTCTACACCGGCCCCAACACCACCTACGCCTGCTGCTCCCCGAAACAGCTGGTGGCCCTGGACGTGAGCCTGAGGGTCACCAAGGCCCTCCTCACCCGCTGCCCTGCCTGCTCTGACAACTTCGTGAGCCTGCATTGTCACAACACCTGCAGCTCCAACCAGAGCCTCTTCATCAACGTGACCCGAGTGGCCGGGCAGGGGGGCAGCCAGCCCCGGGCGGTGGTGGCCTATGAGGCCTACTACCAGCGCAGCTTCGCCGAGCGGACCTACGACTCCTGCAGCCGGGTGCGCATCCCTGCAGCCGCCACGTTGGTGGTGGGCTCCATGTGCGGTGTCTACGGCTCTGCCCTCTGCAATGCCCAGCGCTGGCTCAATTTCCAGGGGGACACGGGGAACGGCCTGGCACCCCTGGACATCACCTTTCACCTGTGGGAGCCTAGCCAGGCCGAGGGCAGCGTGATGCAACCTCTGAATGGTGAGGTCGTGCCCTGCAACCGGTCCCTGGGCTATGGCGCGTCGGCCTGCTCCTGCCAGGACTGCACTGCTTCCTGCCCCGTCATCGCCCGGCCCCCAGCCCTGGACCCCACCTTCTACCTGGGCCGCATGGTAGGGAGCCTGGCCCTCATCCACATCCTCGGCTCTCTCTTCGTCTCGCTCACCGCCTTCCTCCTGTGGTCCCGCCTGGCCAAGCGGGGCCAACGCAAGACGCGCAGCCCCGAGGCGAGCATCGGCCTCGCCCACCGGCTCAGCCTCTCCACCCACACCGTCCTCAGCCAGTGCTTCCAGTGCTGGGGCACGTGGGTGGCCTCGTGGCCAGTGACCATCCTGGTGGTGTCCACTGTTGTGGTGGTGCCCATGGCAGGGGGCCTGGCTTTTCTAGAACTGACCACAGACCCCGTGGAGCTGTGGTCAGCCCCCAGCAGCCAAGCCCGAAGTGAGAAGGCATTCCACGACAAGCATTTTGGCCCCTTCTTCCGAACCAACCAGGTGATCTTGACGGCACCTGGCCGGCCCCGCTACAAGTATGACTCCCTGCTGCTGGGGCCCAAGAACTTCAGTGGGATCCTGTCCTCTGACCTGCTGCTGGAGGTGCTGGAGCTGCAGGAGAGGCTGCGGCGCCTGCAGGTGTGGTCGCCAGAGGAGCAGCGAAATGTCTCCCTGCAGGACACCTGCTACGCCCCCCTCAACCCGCACAACGCCAGTCTCTCCGACTGCAGCGTCAACAGCCTCCTGCAGTATTTCCAGAACAACCGCACGCGCTTGCTGCTCACGGCCAACCAGACGCTGTCGGGGCAGACCTCCCAGGTGGACTGGAAGGACCACTTTCTCTACTGCGCCAAGTGAGTGCTCGCGGGTGTGGCTGCCGGGGTCGGCGTGGGCCCCCTGGAGCCCAGGCCAGGTACACAGCCCAAACTGAGGGGCCCCGTGTGGCTCTGGGTCTCGGTCGCAGGGGCGGCGACGTGCCATTTCTCTCCGTGCTCCCTCTCGGATCCGCACGCCCTAAGCGGGGTGCGTGCTCACTGTAGCTGGTTTGCACCCGACCATCAGAGCCTCCACGCGGTCTTTCTGCAGCACTCCTGACCTAGGGCCCATCCTTGCATGTTCTTGGTCTAAGGGTCGTAGAGCAATCCGAGGGCCCTGCTCATGGGTGTGCTTCGTTATTTTCCTTTCTGCTTTTGTGCTGGGCCTGGATGCACGCCAGCAGGGCCATGGGTAGCCCGTGAGGTGCCCTGGGCCAGGGCAGGGGCCGGGGCTGGTTTTAGGTCCTGCTCGCCTGGGCCGGGTACCCTTGTGCAGGCTGCAGCTACACCCCTTCACGCTGTTTGGGGTTTTGTCCCCGGCTGTGTCCACTTTGCCGTGGTGCAAACAGGAGGCCAGTGAAAGCGCTGGGCCTTGGGACCAAGAGTGAAGGTCTGAGAGCTACCAAGCCTGGAGGGGAGCAGGTAGGTGGGCAGGCAGCCGCTGAGGCTCTCTGGGGTTGGAATGGGCAGAGGTCCTCAAAAGCCTGGTCTCAGGGTCCCTTCACGCTCTGACAAAAGACCGAGGACTCCAGAGAGCTTGGGTTTGGATAGAGGTTATATCTACTGACATTTACCACGTGAGAAAGTAGAACGGAGAAATGATGAAATATTTCTTAATTCTTTAAAAAATAATAATAGGCCCATTACATGCTGCCACAAATAACATATTTTTATGAAAAATAATGGTACTTTCTGTACCAAAAATATCTGGAGTGATAAGAGTAGCATTGTTCTGCATCTTTGCAAATCTCATTAGGGTCTTGCTTAGCAGAAGATGCTGGATGGATCCTGGCATCTGGTTCTGCGTTTGGCCTGTTGGTTGAAGCTCAGCGAGAATGCTTGCCCACACACTCGTGTAGCCAGAGGAGGGAGGAGTGTTGTAATAGCCTTTCCAGAGAATTGTGGATTTGCTCTGATACGTCACCAAAGCTCAGCAAGTGATCTTTGTTTTTCTTTTTTGCATTGGGTCTTAGTTGCAGCATGTGGGCTTCTCTCTAGTTGAGGCGCGTGGGCTTAGTTGTCCCTTGGCACGTGGGATCTTAGTTCTCTGACCAGGGATCAAGCCCGCATCCCCTGCATTGGTAGGAGGATTCTTAACCACTGGACCACCAGGGAAGTCCCCAAGTGATCTTTTCTTAAATGTTAGCGGCAATATGGAAACTAGAGCCATGTCCGTGAACTGTCTGTACTCCACAGACTCGAGATCGAAGAAGGGTAAAAATTGCAAACAGCATCTTAGTGTTATTATGGAAATAGTTTTGACCTTGCAGACCCCTGAAAGGGTCTCCAGGGCTCCCGAGGCCCCCATGCCACCCTGAGAACCTCTGGATTGGACAGGGGAGCCAGGGCTCCCACCCTTCAGGTGAGCCAAGTTTGGGCTGCTTCCCAGAGTCTGTGCTTCAGCCCCAGGGCTGGCCCTCAGAACAGGCAGGTCAGGGAGGACGCTCTGACCCCAGGTTTCCAGTCCTCGAGTTGGCTTTACTTTGGTTTTGGATGCTCACAACAATTCTTGGGTGGCCCGATTATCCCCATTTCAGAGACATGGAAACTGAGGCTCAGAGGGGTATGGTGAGCTGCTCAAGGTCACACAGCAACCAGCACTCCCAGCCAGCTGGTGACTGACGGACGCACTTGCTCACAATGAGCGCTTCGTCCACGCACGTGTGATGTGTTCGCAGAAAGGGCTCAGTGGAGGGCATGGAGACCTGCCCAAGGTTGCAGGGCTGGTACGCTGTCCAAGGAAGGAAGGAGTTCCCACCTCTGGGCCTGGAGGCTTCTGGGCTGGCGGGAGGAGGAGGCTAAGGGCAGCGTGAGGCCTGCGTGGCTCTGTTGGTGGTTAGGACCCGGGGGGCTTGTGTGCCAGACTCCGGCCCCCACCCCAGGGGAGCGTGTGTGACACTCACCCACCCGCCGCATCCGGGAGGACATGATGGCGGAGCCGGGAGGGTGAGGCTGGGATGAGAGGAGAGAGAGCTTGAGGCCCCGCTCAGGGAGCTCCAGTTCACTCTGGATTGGGCCCAGAAATGTTCTGACCACAGGGTCAGACAATGGCACTGCGGGTCCGGGGTGGGGCACCCGGGCCACGGAGATGGGAGTGGGATCAGGAAAGGTGCGTTCCTCTCCCTGCAGCGCCCCCCTCACCTACAAAGATGGCACGGCCCTGGCCCTGAGCTGCATGGCTGACTACGGGGCGCCCGTCTTCCCTTTCCTCGCCATGGGGGGCTACAAAGGTAAGCTGGGTGGCCCCCAGGAGGACAGTGAGGGGACATATGGGGCAGGAGTCAAGGGCAGAAGGATGGGAGTGGCAAAGGGCTTCCTGCTGCCTGGGGGCGGCTGCAGACCCGCCCATCCTCTGTGCTTCCTCTGCCACCCCGTTCATTTTCTCCCAGCCCTGCCCATGTTCTCTGGTTCTGTGCCTGGGCCCATAGACTTTGCCTTTGGCTGAGAGAGGGAAGTGGGGTGTAGTCATTCGACAATGACTTGGATGAGGAGGGGAGGGGGAGGGGAAACAGCGGTGCGGCTGGGGTCGGGGAGGAAAGCAGAGGTGCGCTTGGAGGGTAGCTGAGCATTTCTCCTTCCAGGGAAGGACTATTCTGAGGCGGAGGCCCTGATCATGACCTTCCCCCTCAACAATTACCCTCCTGGGGACCCCCGCCTGGCCCAGGCTAAGCTCTGGGAGGGGGCCTTCTTAGAGGAGATGCGAGCCTTCCAGCGTCGGACGGCTGGTGTGTTCCAGGTCACATTCATGGCGGAGGTAGGGTCCCCTGGCTTTGGGGAGGACAGTTCAAGTGGCTCTGGGTGGGGTCCTGTGTCCCCATCATGTCCTCGCCCCTCCTGAGTGACCTTTAGCTAGCGTCTACCTGCCCAGGAGGATGGGGTGATGCGACAGCTGTTTTCGCAGCCTTGCCGGGGCTCACGGTGGCTCACGCACACAGTGCCCGCTGGCCGAGCCCTTGGGTCAGTGGGGCTGGTCGGGTATGCGTCCACAGCGCTCCCTGGAGGATGAGATCAACAGCACAACAGCCGAGGACCTGCCCATCTTCGCTGTCAGCTACCTCGTCATCTTCTTGTACATCTCCCTGGCCCTGGGCAGCTACTCCAGCTGGCGCCGAGTACTGGTGAGAAGTGAGGGGAGCAGCGAGGGTGGGGATGGCCCATCGGGGTGCTTAGAACCTTTCCAACCTGCTTTCCAGAGCACTTCAAAACAGCAGAGTGGACACACCCAGAGTGGCTCTCCCAAAGGGTGGAGCTTCTTGAGGTGTTCTGTTTCAAAAGTTTTCATTCTGCTCCCTGACAATACCCCACCCCCAACTTGTGCAAATGCAAAGCTAATATTTCCATTGTCTTACAATGCATGCTTGAGGAAGAAGTGGCGGGCTCACAGGGCCTGCCTTTGGGAGGATGGCTCTGCGGAGCAGCCAAAACACAGAAGCATGGAGCAAGCCTGCCCTCTGCCCTCCTCTAACTCGGGTTGGGGGCACATCGGGCAGCCCCGCAGCCAGGAGGCTGAGCCTGATCCCATTGCAGGTGGACTCCAAGGCCACGCTGGGCCTGGGCGGGGTGGCTGTGGTGCTGGGAGCAGTCATGGCTTCCATGGGCTTCTTATCCTACCTGGGTGTCCCCTCCTCACTGGTGATCCTGCAAGTGGTACCATTCCTGGTGCTCGCCGTGGGGGCCGACAACATCTTCATCTTCGTTCTCGAGTACCAGGTAAGGGGGCAGGAGTTCTGCATACCCCCAGCTGCCCCTACATGCCCAGGTGCAGCCCTGCGTGGGTTTGCTGGGCTTCTTACGGCCTCTTCCTAAGCGCTGATGTCCACGTGTACAATTCCTGTAGAAAACAGTGCTTTGCGTTTATCTTTCACATAAATGTATTCATACCATTTGTGTCACCTGAACTTGCTCTCTGTCAGCCCCACATACTGTCTGGTAAGAGTGTCACACAGCACATATGTTATTGAGCCCAAGCTCATACTGCTCGCTGCATGACAAGCCAATAAATCGAGAGACGAGATGTTGAGGCAAGGAATAGTGACTTGATTCGGAAAGCCAGCAGACCGAGAAGGTGGTGGACTAGTGTCCCAAAGAACCATCTTACCCGAGTTAGAATTTAGGCTTCTTTTATACTAAAAGGGGAGGGGGTGTGGCTTGTTGTTACAAACTTCTTGGTGCCAGGAATCCTTTGTTCTTGCAGCTGTCCATGTAGGTCTGGTCACAGTGTTCCTATAAACCTCCAACAAGACACATGTTAGACTCTGCTCTGCAACTTTTTTTATCTCTGTGTGAATGGAAAAGTGTTCTACCTTGAAAGGTCAGAGCCTTGAGAATGGGCCATCATGTATATTTCAGGCCATAGGCAACATTCTTGAACGAAAGATTCAGAGCCAGCATGACTAAGCACAGGCAACAGAGCACAAAGGTTAGAGATCCAATATGGAGTCAGGTTTGTTCTTCTCTGTCCCACACACAGTCACCTCTGTCTTTGTGCTACTAGGTAGCATTCCATGGAAGGACAAGTCAGGGTCCATTTAGCCTCTCCTGTTAGTGAACATTCAGGGTTCCACGATGGGTCAGAGCAAGGATGATCCCTAGACGTGCCACGCATTTCTCTGGGCCAGACCCTGAGAAGTGGAAGATGTGGCCGAGCACAGTGTTGGCAGGGTCTGCTCGCACTGGGGAGGGTGGGGCCATTTCCTCAGGCCTGGCTGGGTCTCCAGGCGATGGCCGTGCCCGGGGGAGCGGGTGGCATGCGCCAGCTCCCTGCTGGCCTGCGAGGGACAGAGCCCTTGGCTGGATCTTGACTGTGTCCCTGCCATCCCCACACAGAGACTGCCACGGAGGCCTGGGGAGGGACGGGAGGCCCACATCGGCCGAGCCCTGGGCAGAGTGGCCCCCAGCATGCTGCTCTGCAGCCTCTCCGAGGCCATCTGCTTCTTCCTAGGTGAGCCGGGGCAGCCCCTCCCCACCAGGTACGGGGAGTTCTTGGAGGCTGGCAGCCTCCTTTCCCTTTGGACCGTCTGAGCGGGTGCCGGGCCCTGAGATTCAACCCTGGTCCCCTCCCCCACCAGGAGCTCTGACCCCCATGCCAGCAGTGCGGACCTTTGCCCTGACCTCCGGCTTTGCGTTGCTTCTCGACTTCCTGCTGCAGATGTCAGCCTTCGTGGCCCTGCTCTCCCTTGACAGCAGAAGGCAGGAGGTAGGGGAGGTGGAGAGAGCCAGGGACCCCCATCTTGGCTGGGGCTGGGGTGGCTTTACTGTGTAGAAGTAAAGCCTCAGAGTGTGGCGTTGAGCGCGGCAACAGAGCGCTGGACTGTTTGGGCCACATAGTCCCCAACGTCCCAAAGCAACCTCGTTTTGGTAATTTGGGGGAATATGATCAAACCTCCTAAAGTACACGAGGTCATGACATAAAATATAAATGAGAGACTGACAGGGAGGGAGTTCCTGTTTCCGTGATGGTGCAAAATTCAAAGGTGTTTTATCAAGGTAGAAAATAGAGATAAAGGCAACGCACAGTGGCATGTCCCCACTGGGTGGTGCTGGCACGGGCCACCTGTGGAAGGTGGCTCTCCCACCCCATGGAGGGAGGTGGTCCCTGGGGTCTGTTTTGGGGCCACCTTGAGCGCCTGCCTCCTTCCAGGCCTCCCGGCTGGACGTCTGCTGCTGCAAGAGCGCCCAGGAGCTGCCCCCGCCTAGCCAGGACGAGGGGCTACTGCTCCGATGCTTCCGCAAGTTCTACGTCCCGTTCCTGCTGCACCGGTTCACCCGTGTGGTCGTGGTGAGTGGGGACAGAGGGGAAGCTGGGGGGGCCTCGCACCACCCAGGGACAGGGGTCTGCTCAGCCTGGACCCTCGCCTCGCCCGTCATCTTTGGAGGGGTGTCGAGCTTGCCCAGGTCCAGGTGCTGAAGCAAGAGGGAGGCTGAGATTCAAGCCTGCCCAACTCCAGAATGTTCCCCACGAGACCCCACCCAGACCCAGCCTGGGGAGCTGCTGGGCAGGAGGCCTTCACACAGCGCTTCCCCCCGCAGCTGCTGCTCTTCCTGGCCATGTTTGGAGCAAGTCTCTATTTCATGTGCTACGTCAAAGTGGGGCTGGACCAGGAGCTGGCCCTGCCCAAGGTGAGCGGGCCCTGGGGCCACCCATGGGTGCCCTCCCTCCCCTGCCCTCGGCCCCCAGGGACGTGGGGAGGGTCAGCAGCACACAACTGGTGGGGCGGCATGGAGCAGGGGCGTGGTAGGAGTGTGGGACCGCTCGTCACGTGGAGCTGGGAAGAGAAGCCACGTCATGGATGGAAAACGCAGGAGCTCAGCGCCAGCCCCAGGCCCCGAGAGAGAGACGACCAGGCACCCGAGGGGCTGGCCATGGGAGCCGCTCGAGATGATTGTCAGGGCAGGCTCGCTGAGCACCTGCCTTCTGCTGGGCACGCCACATCCTCAGACCTGGGCTCCGCAGCAGCCCATGTCACTGTACCGTCCTCTGAAAGACAGTGAGGGTCGGGGGCTTCTTCCTAGGTGAGCCGGGGCAGCCCCTCCCCACCAGGTACTAGGAGTTCTTGGAGGCTGGCAGCAGAGTGGAAGGAAAGACCTCTGTGGCTTGAGGGTCCTGGGCAGAGGAGAGATCAAGGGGCATCTGAGCATGAGTGGGATTTGCAGAGGAAGGCAGCAAGGGTGACGGCACGGACCCGTGGGAGGCTGGGGCTCACCCAGGTGCATTTCCTGGGTGTGGGAGTGACTGGGTGTGGGGAGGAGTGGCGGTAGAGCCCGAGAGCGGGAGGCCGGGGCTCGGGGGTGGGGAAGGGTGCTGACTGCCAGGCTGGGGCCAGCAAGCACACATCGGAGAGGCTCGTCTGGACGTGCAACCAGAGGTGGTGTGGGCTGGTGGCTGGGGGAGAGCAAGTCTGCGTGCCTGCGCTCCAGGGGAGGCAGAGCGTCATGAGGGCTCGGACACCCAGGGCCACCCTGGGCAGGGTGATGGGAGTCCAGTTGCTGGCAGGAGCCCTGGGATGAGTAGTCTGGGTAGCCATCTGCAGGTGGTGCTGGCCTTGGAAGCAAGATGAGGTGGGAGGAGAGCTGACAGCCAGGACGGCACCTTCGAGCCACCATAGGGAGGAAGAGGAGGCAGCAAAGCCAGCAAGGGTGCAGAATGACCCTGCCACCCATGGTGGCCCTGGGGGCTGCTCACAGGGCCGAAGAGAAGAGGGTCCCCAGTGCCCCCAGGACGGGCATCAGGGACCTGGTGGGCAGAGCCGATGAGCGAGAAGGAAGGTGGTGATGGGCTGCCAGACCCAGCTGAGGTTTTGTTTATGCCCTTTGTTTATTTTTCTTTGGGGGAGATTTGTTTGTTTTTTATGAGGTTATAAAACTTATTTCTCTCCGTTTTTTTCTTCTGGTAAAATATACGTAACATGAAATTTGCCATTTTAACCATTTTAAAGTGGCGTTAAGTACGTTCACATTGTTATGCAACACTCACCACCATCCATCTCCACGGCCCTTTCAGCCTGCAAAACTGAACCTCTGTCCCTATTAAACACTGACTCCCCATCCCCTCCCCCCAGCCGCTGGCACCCACCATCCTACCCTCTGTCTCTGAAGTTGACTAATCTAGGCACCTCATGTAAGTGGAATCATAAGCTATTTGTCCTTTTGTGAGGGCTTCGTTCACTTAGCATAATGTCCTCAAGGTTCAGCTATGTTGTAACACGTGTTAGAATTTCCTTCCTTTTTAAGGCTGGAGAATATTCATATGTATACGAATGCATATACCTCACAGTTTCCTTAAGCATTTTTCTGTTGATGGATATGGGTTGCTTCCACGTTTTAGCTATTGTGAAATAATGCTGCTATGAACACGGGTTTACAAGTATCCCTTTGAGACCCTGCTGTCAATTATTTTGGGTGTATACCCAGAAATGGAATTGCTAAATCGTATGGCAATTCTAGTTTTTAATTTTCTGAGGAAGCTCCATACTGTTTGCCATAGCAGCAGCTGTACCATTTTACATTCCTACCAACAACGCACAGGGTTCCAATTTCTCCACATCCTCACCGACACTTGTTTTCTGGGTTTTTTTGGTTGGTTTGTTTGTTTCTTTTTTGATAATAGCCATCCTAATGGGTGTGAGGTGGTATCTCATTGTGGCTTTGATTCGCATTTCCCTAACAATTAGTGATGTTAAGCATGTACTTACTGTCCATTTGTATAGCTCCTTTGGAGAAATGTCTAGTTTTGAATTGGATTGGATTTTGTTGTTGAGTTCTAAGAGTTCTCTAGGTATCCTGGATAATCAATCCCTTATCAGATATGTGATTTGTGAATATTTCCTTCATTTCTGTTGGTTGCTTTTTTACTCTATTGGTAGTATACTTTGAGGCACCAAAGGTTTTAATTTTCATAAAGTCTAATTTGTCTATTTTTCTGTCCGTTAACTGTGCCTTTAGTGTCATATTCAAGAATAAATCTTTGCCAGGAGTTCCCTAATGGTCTAGTGGTTAGGACTCTGGGCTTTTGCTGCCAGGGCCCGGGTTCAGTCCCTGGCTGGGGAACTGAGATCCCGCAAGCCTTGTGGCATGGCCAAAAACAACAACAACAACAACAACAAACCAATAAATCATTGCCAAATCCAATGTACTGAAGTTTTCCCCCTGTTTTATTCCGAGTTTTGTAGTTTTACCTCGTAAATTTAGATCCATTTTGGGTTGATTTATATATATATTTATGTATATTTTTGAAGGTCCAACTTCATTCTTTTGCATGTAGATATCCAGTTTCCCCAGCACCATTTGTTGGTGGGAATGGTCTTGGCTCCCTTGTCAAAAATCATTTGACCATATATGTGAGGGTTTAATTCTAGGCTTTCTGTTCTATTCCATTGGTCTATGTGTCTGTCTTTGTGCCAGTACCACACTGTTTTTTTTGTTTTTTTGCGGTACACGGGCCTCTCACTGTTGTGGCCTCTCCCGTTGTGGAGCACAGACTCTGGACGTGCAGGCTCAGCGGCCATGGCTCACGGGCCTAGCTGCTCCGCGGCATGTGGGATCTTCCCGGACCGGGGCACGAACCCGTGTCTGCTGCATCGGCAGGCAGACTCTCAACCACTGTGCCACCAGGGAAGCCCCAAAATTTCACTTTTTTTTTTTTTTTTTTTTTGCAGTCACACCGTTTTGATTATTGTATCTTTGTGGTAAATTTTGAAATCAGGAAATATGAGTCATTCAACTTTGTTCTTCTTTGCCAAGATTATTTAATATTTGGGGTCCCTTGAGATTCCAGTATGAATTTTAAGATGGAGTTTTGTATTTATGCCAAAAAATCATTGGGATTTTGAGAGGGATTTCATTGAATCTATAGGTTGCTTTGGGTACTATTGACATCTTAACAATATTAAATATTCCAGCTCATGAATATTGGATGTCTTTCAATTTCTGTCTTCTTTAATTTCTTTCAGCAATGTTTTTTAGTTTTCAGTGTATAAGTCTTTCACCTCCTCGGTGAAGTTAATTCCTAAGTATTTTATGGTGCTATAGTAAATGGAATTGTTTTCTTAATTTCCTTTTTGGATTACTCATTGCTCACGTATAGAAATACAACTGATTTTTGTGTGTTAATTTTGTAACCTACAATTCTGCTGAATTTATTAGTTCTAACGGGTTTTATCTGGTGGATCTTTAAAGTTTTATATATGTATATAAGATCATGTATTTTATGAACAGAGATAATTTTACTTGCTTTCCAGTTTAGATGCCTTTAATTTCTTTTCCTTGCCTAACTGCTCTGACTACGACTTCCAGTATTATGTTGAATAGAAGTGGTGAAAGCAGGCATCCTTATCTTGTTCTCAATCTTAGAGGAAATTCTTTCAGTTTTTCACCACTGAGTATGATATTAGCTGTGGGATTTTCATATCTGTGGCTTTTATCATGTTGAGGAACTCTGCTGTACTCCTGCTTTTCTGAGTTTTTTTTTTCATAAAAGGATGTGGAATTCTTTTTTTTTTGTCCACGCTGCACGGCTTGCAGGATATTAGTTCCTCAACCAGGGGTCGAACCCAGGCCACAGCAGTGAAAGGGCTGAGTCCTAACCACTGGACTGCCAGGGAATTCCTAGGGTGTGGGATTTTGTCAAAAGTTTTTCTGCATCAGTTGAGATGATCATGTGATTTTCTCTTCATTCTATTAATGTGGTGTATTACATTGACTGATTTTCATGTGTTGAACCACTCTTGAATTCTGAGATAAATCCCATTTGGTCACAGTGTATAACCCTTTTAAAATATTGTTGAACTCAATTTGCTAGTATTTTGTTGAGGATTTTTTTTCATCAATATTCATAAGGGATATTTGTCTGTAGTCTTTCTTTTCATGTAGTGTCTTTGTCTGGCTTTGGTATTAGGGCAATGCTGGCCTTATAGAATGAGCTAAAGGTGTTTCCTCCTCTTCAATTATTTGGAAGAGTTTGAGGAGTATTGGTGTTAATTCTTCTTAAAATGTTTGGTAGAATTCACCAGTGAAGTCATCAGGTACAGGGCTTTTCTATGTTGAGTTGATTTTTGAAAATGGATTCAAACTCCTTACTAGTTATGGGTCTATTCAGATTTTCTATTTCTTCTTTTCACAGTGATGGTAGGCTCTGTGTTTCTCGGAATTTGTGCATTTCATCTAGGTTATCCAATTTGTTCGCATACAATTGGTCATAGTACTTAATTACAATTCCTTTTATTTCTGTAGAATCAGTAGTTGTGTCCCCACTTTCAATTCAGATTTAGTAATTTGAGTCTTTTCTTTTTTTCTTAGTCGACGTAAGTAAATCTTTGTTGCTTTCGTTAAACTTTTTGAAGAACCAATTCTTGGTTTCATTGATTGTCTATATTGTTTTCCTGTTCTCTATTTTATTTATCTCTGCTCCAATCTTTATTATTTCTTTTGTCTTGGCAGCTTTGTGTTTAGTCAATTTTTTTTTCTGTTTCTATAAGTTGTATAGTTAGGATGATGACTTGAGATCTTTCTTCTTTTTTACTGTGAACATTTATAGCTATAAATTTCCTCCTTAGCACTACTTTCACTGCATCCCATAAGTGTTGGCATGTTATGTTTTCATTTTCATTTGTCTGTAAATTTCTAATTTCCTTTCTGATTTGTTCTTTGACCCACTGGTTGTTTAAGAGTGTGATGTATAATTTCTACAAGTTTGTGAATTTTTCAGTTTTCCTTCTGTTATTGATTTCTAACTTCATGTAGTCGTGGTCTGAGAATATACATAATATGATAACTATCTTTTTAAATGTTGAGATCTAATATGTGGCCAAACACATGGTTTATCCTGGAGAATGTTCCATGTGTATTTGAGAGGAATATGTATTTTGTTGTTGTTGGGGAGAGTTTCTGCATATGTCTGTTAGATTTAGTTGGTTTATTGTGTTGTTCGAGCCCTCTATTTCCTTAATTGTCTTCTGTCTGTGTGTCCTACCATTATTGACACTGGAGTATTGAACTCTCCTACTATTATTGTAGAACTTTCTATTTCTCCCTTCATTTCTATCAAGTTTTGCTTCATAGATTTTGATGGTCATTCATTAGGTGTATAACTGTTTATACACACTTACTCTTGCTTTGTTGAATCTTTTATTAATATATAATGTTCTTCTTTGTCTTTCGTAACCTTTTTATTTAAAGTCTATTTTACCTGGTAGTAGGATAGCCACCTCTCCTTTGGCTACTATTTGCATGGAATATCTTTTTTCTATACTTTCACTTTCAACCTGTGGGCAACTTTGGATATCAAGTGAGTCTCTTATAGACATCATGTAGTCGGATCATGTTTTCCTTATCCATTCTGTTAACCTCTGACTTCTTTCTGGAGAGAGTCGTCTATTTACATGTAAAGTAAGTACTGATAAGGAAAGACTTACTTATGTCATTGAGCTATTTGTTTTCTATATACCTTATAGCTTTTTTGTCTCTCATTTCCTGCATTACTATCTTCTTTTTGTTTAGTTGATAGTGAAATGCTTAAATTCCTTTCCCATTTCCTTTTGTGTATATTCCATGGCTATTTTCTTTGTGGTTACCAGGGAGATTACATTAAATATCCTAAAATTTGTTGAATGTATCCTAGTTTAACATGAATTACATAGAAAAAATCTGTTCCTATACAGTTCCTTTCCATTTCTTTTTAGTCATTGCTATCACAAAATTACATCTTTATGTACTGTGTATCCAAAAATGCAGACTAATCATTTTTTATATATTAGTCTCTTAAGTTATGTAGAAATAAAAAAATGGAGTTACACACCAAAGTTACAATAAAACTAGCTTTTAAATTTTCGATGTATTTACCTTTACCAGTGATCTTCATTTCTTTATATGGCTTTGAGTTATACCCTAGCATCCTTTCATTTCAACTTGAAAGACTCCTTTTAGTGCTTCTTGCAGGACAGGTCTTGTGGCAACAAACTCCTTCTGCACTTGTTTATCTGGTAATGTCTTAATCTTCCCCTCATTTCTGAAGTACGGTTTTGCCAGAAGTAGGATTCTTGGTTGACAGTTTTTTCCCCTTAAGTACTTTGAGTATACAAACCCACCACCTTCTGGCCTTCAAGTTTTCTAATAAGAACTGTGCTTATAATCTTATTTGGGATCCTTTGTATATGATAAGCTTCTTCTCTTTTGTTGCTTTCAAAATTCACTTTTTGTCTTTATCTTTCAACAGCTGAATTGTAATGTGCCTTGGTGTGGGTCTCTTTGAGTTTATCCTACTTGGAGTTTGTTAAGCTTCTTGGATGTTTATATTCATATCTTTCATCAGATTTATGAAATTTTGGCTGTTATTTCTTCAAATAATCTTTCTTCCTCTTTCTTTCTCTCTCTTCTCTTTCTGGGATTCCCATGATGCGTATGTTGGTCTGCTTGATGATGTCCCACAGGTTCATTTTTCTTTATTCTTTTTTCTTTCTCTTCTTCACTTGGTAATTTCAATTGTCCTATCTTCATGTTTGGTAATTCTTCTTCTGACTGCTCAAATATGCTTTTGAATCCCTATAGTGAATTGTTTATTTAATTATTGTACTTTTCAGCCCCAGAATTTCTTTTTGGTTCTCTTTTATGTTTTCTCTTTATTGATCATTCCATTTTGTTCATACATCGTTTTCTTGACTTTGTCCATATGTTATTTTAGCTCTTTGAGCATCTCTAAGATCATTGTTTTAAAGTCTCTGTCTAATAAATCCATTGTCTGGTCTTTCTTAGGGATGGTGTCTGTTGATTAATTTTTGTTCCTAGGTATGGGCCATATCTTTCTGAGTCTTTGTATGTTTTATGATTTTCGTTGTTATTGTTGTTGAAAAATGGACATTTGAGAGTCCACAGTAACTCTAGAGATCAGATTCTCTTCCTTCCCCAGGGTTTGCTTATTTATTTATTTATTTTTATAAATTTATTTATTTCTTTTTATTTTTGGCTGTGTTGGGTCTTTGTTGCTGTGCGTGGCCTTTCTCTAGTTGCAGTGAGCGGGGGCTACTCTTCATTGCGGTGCGCGGGCTTCTTATTGTCATGGCTTCTCTTGTTGCAGAACACGGGCTCTAGGTGCATGGGCTTCAGTAGTTGTGGCACGCGGGCTCTAGAGTGCAGGCTCAGTAGTTGTGGCACATGGGCTTAGTTGCTCTGTGGCATGTGGGATCCTCCTGGGCCAGGGTCAAACCCATATCCCCCGCATTGGCAGGCGGATTCTCCACCACTGCACCATCAGGGAAGCCCTATTTATTTATTTTTAAAAACTTAATTGTTACTGATGTCTCTGTCATGGAGATCAGCCTGAGATGTAAAGTTAAAGTCTTTCCAGATCTTTTCTGAGCCTTCACCTTTCCCTGGGCATGAGCAGTGACTGTTTAAATTCCCCTGTATTTGTGGTTGATTTTGAGTGTCATGTTTCTTAAAGGTCCGGCTCTCAAAAGGAGAAAAAGGGAGATATGAAGGGGAAAAACAGTAAATCAAGCACTTGCTCTCTAAATATCTTGGAAGTAACTTCAGCTTGAGGTGAAGGTTTTAATGGTGCCTGACTCTGTGTCTGCTCTACGGATATCAGAAGCAGCAATGAGTGATCAGAACACATATCCTTGATATTTAAGAGATGGGCCTTATAGCCTACCCTGGATCCTGCAAGCTGTGTGCAAACTGTTCCTGGAATGTGTGCCTGGCTGCCTGCTTCAGGCTGGGAGGATAAAGGATGAGTAGCCAGTACCATGCTAAGAACCATCCAAGCTTTTCTCTGGAAGCTTCAAGCCCTCAATCGACCCCAGAATTCCAGAATAGTTACATCAGACAGATCCTGCCAGTGCAGTTGGAGTCTAGGTGGAGAGGTGGAATCCTGGTTCTTCCTATTCCAACATCATCCCTGATGTCACTTTGAGGTTTTACGTTATAGGAGAAGGGAACAGGCCATGCAGATGCCTGGCACATGGCCTTGAGGGTGTGCACATGGGTGTTTACATGTGCGTGTCTGTGCAGTCTGTGGTCACTTGTTAGACTGTGGCTGTACCAAACTGGGGATGATAAGAAGGGGTAAAATTATGTGTATATGTTTGTGTGTGTGTCAGAGTGTGTTCATGCAGGCTGGCATGTGATGCTCTGTGCATGTACCTCCATGAGTGTGTTCTGTGATTATACCTGGATGTGTAATTATACCTGTAATTATACCTGGATGTGTGTGCCTTGGAGTGTGTACCTCCATGGGCACACCTCTGACCATGTACATCTGTAATGGAACCGTACGTGTGACTCTGTGAGCACGTATCTCTGTACCCCTGTGAGCATGCACCTCTGTGTGTGTACCTCTTGAGCATTTGCTGGAGTGAGGCTCTTGGGGTGTGTCTGGCCCTGGCCTCACTGACTGTCCTCTGTTCCAGGACTCGTACCTGCTTGACTATTTCCTCTTTCTGAACCGCTACTTTGAGGTGGGGGTCCCAGTCTACTTTGTAACCACTGGGGGCTACAACTTCTCCAGTGAGGCAGGTTTGAACGCCATCTGCTCCAGCGCAGGCTGCAACAACTTCTCCTTAACCCAGAAGATCCAGTACGCCGCCGAGTTCCCTGATGAGTGAGTGCCCCAGCCCACCCCTGTCTGTCCCCCTACCCTGCTCTGCTGCCCACCTGCTGCCATGTGCCTGGGGAGGCCCAGAGTGAAGGTTGGACTGTAGGAAGGACCCGCCGCAGCCTGCCTGTGTGGTCCTGTCCCTTGAGCTCCTCTCCCCGACCCTCAGGTCTTACCTGGCCATCCCTGCCTCCTCCTGGGTGGACGACTTCATTGACTGGCTGTCCTCACCTTCCTGCTGCCGCCTTTATGTCTTTGGCCCCAATAAAGATGAGTTCTGCCCCTCGACTGTCAGTGAGTATGGGGCCTCTGGGGGCTCAGGGCCCACTACATCTTGGGGAAACTGGGGCTAGAAAAAGGAGAGGACTGGTGGAGGATCTCTTAGCCCCTCCCGCTCTTCGGCAGGGTCAGTCGGGGCGGGGGGGTCCCGTCTTGGTGCACAGGTGTGGGGGACTGCACCCGTATGTGTGGACGCCCAGCTGGCCCACCAGGCAATCACCCCCTCATGCCCCTGCTGAGTTGTGCCCACACCCGCTGGGCAGGCTGCTGCTCACATGCCGAGGGAGTCGAGTGAGAGCTGGGGTCGGCACGTGGCCCTACCCCGGAGCAGCTGCGCTTGTAGGCGGGGCGGGGAGGCCCCATGGTGGCTGCTTCTCTGTCCCAAACTTCTCTTCCTCACTTGCTCATAGGTACCAGCTGTTTCCATAACTGAGAGGGGAACTCCTCCCATAGTTAGAGACAAACGCAAATCTCTCCAGAAGTACCCATGCCTGTTGTGGCAGTGGCAGTGCGTGGGGATCATGATGGGAAAGGACCACAAGGTGGGCAGTGGGGGCGCTGACTGGCCTTGTGGGTGCCGCCACCTGGAGCCTCTGCTCTCTCTGCAGACTCCCTGGCCTGCTTGAAGAACTGCATGAGACACACAGCAGGGTCTGTCCGGCCATCAGTGGAGCAGTTCCACAAGTATCTTCCCTGGTTCCTGAAAGATGAGCCCAACATCAAATGTCCCAAAGGGTAGGCTGGGGTGGCGGGTCCACCAGGGAGGACAGCTGTGTGGGCGCCCAAGGCAGGGGCACAGAGGGGCAGGAGGCAGTGTGGGTTCTCTGGGAGTGGCCATAGGCCAGGCACACGGAGGGGGCCCGATCCTTGGCTAACCTGCTCTGGTCTTCTCCCTGCAGCGGCCTGGCAGCGTACAGCACCTCCGTGAATTTGGGCCCAGATGGGCAGGTCTTAGGTAAGCACGGCCTCGACTGGAGGGGAAGACCAGAGTCAGCTGCTCCAGGGGCCCCACGAGTCCCAGGGAACAGCTCCATCTCGAACCTTCTCTCCTTCCTCCTTTATGGGGGACTTCTAACTGCCCTGGCCCTATCTTCAGAGGTCACGTTGCCCAGCTCCACATCCTCAGACTTTACCCCATTTCTGCCCTGCTTCCTTCTCCCCACCCCCAAATCCAAGGTCAGTGTGACGTTCATGGACTTTTCAGTGGCTGATGCCACACCCGGGAGCCACCCACATCCTCTTCTCTCAGGCACAAGTCACACCCAGATGTGGGCAGTGGGTAGCTGGTTAAATGAATGACTATTGACTTACCCAGTGGGTGCCCTGATGCACAGCTCTGTTAAGTCAGCTGTTTCCATTTTTCTGACTCCCTTTCTGGTCCTTTCCTATAGGAATATGTACATTGGAAAAGTAATTAAATGAATTTTAAAAATCCAATGTATGTTTTGAAACCATACAGAGCAGCGTTTGGGTTCATCTGGGAGATCCCTTCTTTTTTTTTTCTTTTCTTAATTTAATTTTATTTTTGGCTGCGTTGGGTCTTCGTTGCTGCGCACGGGCTTTCTCTAGTTGTGGTGAGAGGGGGGTACTCTTCCTTGCGGTGCTTGGGCTTCTCGTTGCAGTGGCTTCTTTTGTTGTGGAGCACAGGCTCTAGGCACGTGGGCTTCAGTAGCTGTGGTGCATGGACTCAGTAGTTGTGGCTCATAGGCTCTAGAGTGCAGGCTCAGTAGTTGTGGCACACAGGCTTAGCTGCTCTGCGGCATGTGGAATCTTCCTGGACCAGGGCTGTAACCCGTGTCCTCTGCATTGGCAGACGGATTCTTAACCACTGCGCCACCAGGAAGTCCTGGGAGATCTCTGCAAGCTCTGTCCTTCAGAGGCAGGGCTGGGACTTGAGTCTTGCACGGCAGTAGGACCAGCTGCAGAGTTTGCAGGACTGGGGCCAAACCAACATGCTGGGCCCTTTGCTCAAAATGTATTAAGAATTCCCAAATGGTGGCGGCAGAGCCCTGAACCCAGCCGGGCGCTATCCCTTGGGGGTTCTGAGGGCACCTGGCACAGGCTCTGACCTTTGCAGCCTCGCGGTTCATGGCCTACCACAAGCCGCTGAAGAACTCTCAGGATTACACGGAGGCTCTGCGGGCAGCTCGGGCGCTGGCAGCCAACATCACCGCCGACCTGCGGAAGGTGCCGGGCACCGACCCAGACTTCGAGGTCTTCCCTTACACGTGAGTCCCTGGGCACTGGGATGCAGGGAGGTGGGCCCGGGTGAGGGTGCTGGGCTGGTGAGGGCGGCTGCTGGGTGGGGATGGGCTGTAGCAGGGAGGCTCGGGCTGCACCTGGGCCCGGGCCCCCCGACACCCTCCCCTAGCTGCATGCTCATCCTGAAGTGGGCGTGGGAAGCCATGGAGAGGTGACTGTGCCCTGCGACCCGCAGGATCACCAACGTGTTCTATGAGCAGTACCTGACCGTGGTCCCTGAGGGGCTCTTCATGCTCACCGTCTGCCTGCTGCCCACCTTCGCTGTCTGCTGCTTCCTGCTGGGCATGGACATCTGCTCCGGCCTCCTCAACCTGTTCTCCATCATCATGATCCTGGTGGACACTGTGGGCTTCATGACCCTGTGGGATATCAGCTACAATGCTGTGTCCCTCATCAACCTGGTCACGGTAACCTGCTGGCCGAAGGGGCGGGGCTCCAGGGCAGGAGGGGTGCTGGCCTCATAGGACGACCCCAGCTCTTTCTAGAGTCTAGGTGCTGCCCGCTGGTCTGGGTGGAGACCCCTGCCCCCGCCCTTTTGTGGCTGAAGCCCCCTCTCTCCCCACAGGCGGTGGGCATCTCTGTGGAGTTCGTGTCCCATATCACCCGCTCCTTTGCCATCAGCACCAAGCCCACGCGGCTTGAGAGGGCCAAGGAGGCCACCATTTCCATGGGCAGTGCGGTGAGTGGATGGGCTGCCTCACCTAGCCCTCGGCCGGCTGCCCCGTGCCCAGCCTGACGCCCACCTGTGACCCCCAGGTGTTCGCAGGAGTGGCCATGACCAACCTGCCCGGCATCCTCGTCCTGGGCCTGGCCAAGGCGCAGCTCATCCAGATCTTCTTCTTCCGCCTCAACCTCCTCATCACTGTGCTGGGCCTGCTGCATGGCCTGGTCTTCCTGCCGGTCGTCCTCAGCTACCTGGGTGAGCGCCTGGGCTCCTCTGACACTGCCAGGCCCCTCCCTCATGACTCCAGGCCACAGGCAAAATGCCACGAACACACACAGCCCTGCTTACTCGGGACAGTCACTGCCCAGATTGTGAGCACACAGTTCCTCCTGGCTTGGAAAAACTGGGGTCTTTCACTTAACATGTGAAAACATCTTTTTTTTTTTTTTGTCAGATGTGTGTTTCAAACACTTTCAGTGGCCGTATGGTCTGTGCTGTGTGCTGTTGAACTTTTGATCGTGACTTTCAGCAGGAAATATATTTTCACACTGAGAGGTGATGTGTACAGGCACGGACACGGACAGGCAGAGTAGAACAAGCATTTCACAAAATGACACTGCCGGAGAAGCCTTGGATATTTTCTGTTCTAGTCTATCATTGATTTTTAAAAAAATGCTGGCGTTATCTGCGAAATTGATTTCATGACTCATTCATGGGTGACTCCTTGCAGTCGAAAAACATATCCTCTACTATGGATCAGCCACAAACCATTTAACCAGCTCCCAGCTGCTGGACATTAGACTATTTCTGACTGTCCATGTTATTGCCAGTGCCGCGATGACCATCCTTGTGGCTGAATCTTTGACCTCATCCTCCAATATTTCCTGGAGAAAGTCCAGTCTGTGAATGTTGATTATTCATGCCAATGGTTAACGCCCTCCAGCAAGTTTTATCTAAACTCCTATCAGCAACACGTGCATTTCTGTTTCCTCATTGTTGAGCACAGTCATTTACACACCCCGTCCCCCAAAAGAGATTTTTTTTTTTGGTCGCGCTGGGCGGCTTGCGGGACCTTCGTTCCCGAACAGGGATTGCACCCGTGCTCTCGGCAGTGAAAGCACGGAGTCCTGACCGCTGGACCACCAGGGAATTCCACCACCCCACCCCCACAGAGATTTAAACTGGGCCCGCAGGACGAAGCGTCCCCCCTGTTACGGTGGGCAAGCTGAGAGCAGTTCAATGCTGCACCATTCCCTGACACCCGGAATAATAACAATGGTAATTTTAGAGAAAACATTTACAGAAGGGTGTGTTTGTGCTCTAATATATGTGCACTAATCGTCTTATCACCTCTGGAGGTAGGTGATGTTTTCATCCCCATTTCACCGATGAGGAAACTGAGACTCCCACCCCAGTCACAGAGCTGGTCACACGCAGTGTATCTGGAGGCCACACAGCTCCAGCACCCCTACCCAAGGCACCAGCATCTTGTAGAAACTTCCTGACCCCCTTTGGAAGAGGAGAGTGTATTGGGGATGGTGGGTGGCGAGGAGGACAGCCCCAGGGGTCACCCAGTTGGGGAGCTACAGGTCCCACAGGTCGTGGCCACCCCTTGGAGATTACGAGTGGCCGGGAGTGAGGAAGGAGCTCGCAGGTCCTGCCCCCTCAGAGTGGCCTGGGATCTTGACAGAGAGGTGAGTGGCAGGCGCAGAGACCCCCGGGCCCCTCCCTGACCTGAGTCTGACAACAGAGTGAGGAACGGCTTCTCTCGGCAAGGAGCGCTTGCATAGGGTGTCCATGAAGAGAGGAGGGGGTGGCAGTCACAGGCCATGGGCGTCTGGGGGCTTCCCCTGCAAGATCCCCGGATGGCAGGGGTCTGCACTGGAAGGCAGGTGGGCCAGGGGCTGGGCGCAGATGGCGGCTGAAACGGCTACTGGCATTTAGGTGTAGGGTGGAGCGAGGGCTGGGGCGAGGGGCAGTGGTGGAGGTGGAGGGCTTCGGGCTTAGCTCTCGTTCTCGGGAACTTCCTTTTTAGGGCACAGCAAACGCCTGCGCCCCGCATCCAGCACACGCTTCCCTGACCATGGTCCTCTGTACCTATCCCTCTGCAGGGCCTGATGTCAACCCAGCTCTGGTGCAGCTGCAGAAGCAGGAGGAGGAGGTGACTGCAGCCAAGGCGGCCTCCTGGTCAAAGCGCCCTGCCCCGACGAGCACGGCCAACAGTGTCCATGTCAACTACGGCTTTGAATGTCCTGACAAGAGCGAGGGTGGCCTGGGTAGCTCTCAGCCTCACAATAGGCAGAAGCTCTGATGGAGCCGGAGCCCCTGTGCAAGCTCACCGGCCCTGACCTGAGGGGCCATGAGGGCTCCTCTGTGGGGGTCCCTTGACCCATCCCCGCCCTCAGGGCCTGGGAGAGGCTGTCCCCACAGGAGTGCCCGCGACAGGTCACCCTCTGGCCATGAGGTCTCACCCACAGGGACACACGATTGTGATGGAGGTGGCGCGCGATGGCGTGGGTGTGATCTGGTCCTGACCCACCTCTTGAATTTGACGTGTGTCCTCCTCATGCAAGTTTTAAAACTTTAGTTCTGTGTATGTAAACATAGAATATTATTGCACATTTAAAAGTTTTCCTTAATCGATATTATACTTGACCTATCCTTTTGCAATGAGGTTGTTTTTTTTTGCATGCAACATACATGTTTTTGATTTATTCATGTTGATACGTGGAGATCTAGTCCAATCATTTGAACTGCGACACAGCATTCCATTGTGTGAACGAACACGGTGTTTTTATCCATTGCCCAGCTAGTGGGCAATCACATTGTCCCCAATTATTTTTCTGCTATAAGTCCACAGTCACTTCTGTGGAATTCAGAGCTCCCAAAGCTCTGAAAACCTACTGTGTGTGTCTCTTTTTCTCCTGTAAGTTTGGGACAAACTCATTTGGTGGCAAAAACCGATCAGACAAGATGTATCTATTTATACTTTATAAATAGGATACTTACACTGTTCAACCAACTTGTTGTGAATAGTCATATATTTCAGTGCATTAATGAGTTTGATTTCGTGTTGCTGCCCCAGATCCTCCTGGGGTCTAATATCTAATGTACTGTAAGCATCAAATTACCTTTCTAAAAAATGTTCTAAATCCTGAAATTCAGCTCACCTATGGGATTTCAGGTATGGAACCATGGACCTTTGTGCTGAGTACGTGCTTACACGTCTCCTGTCTATGTGTGGGGCGCTACCATCGCTGTAGCACTGAACGGCATACAGTCAAATGCCTCCCAGAGAGGTTGCCCTGTTCACACCAGCGGTGGATGAGGGTGCCTCTCTCCCTGCACCAATACCAACAAAACGCTCCACTTACTTTTGAGAGGCAGGAGGGTACGATTATGGATGACTATCCCTTTTTTAAAAACACTTTTTTAAAAGAAGACTTTTAAATTTTAGAATAGTTTTACAGAAAAATTACAAAGATAGTACAGAGAGTTTCTGTATGCCCCCCACCCAGTTTACCCTGCTAACATATTACATCAGTATAATACACTTGTCAGTGTACAATTAATGAACCAGTACTGATAATTACTACTAACTAAAGCCCATACTTTGTTTAGATTTCTGTAGCTTTTATCTAGTGTCCATTTTCTGTGCCAGGATCCCATCCAGGACACCACATAATACTCAGATGTTACGTCTACTTAGGCTCCTCTGGGCTGTGACAGTTTGTCAGACTCTCCTTTTCTTTGTTTTTGATGACCCGGACAGTTGAAGACTGGTCAGGCATTTTATAGAATGTCCTTCAAATGGGGTTTGTCTGGTGTTTCTCCTGGGTGATGGGCTTTTGGGAGGGAGACCACAGAGGCAGAGCACCGTTCTCAGCATATCGTGCCAAGGGTGCCTGCAGTCGCCACCACTCATCGCTGTGATGCTGACTCTGACCACCTGGCTGAGGTTGCAACGGCCAGGCGTCTTCCCTGTACAGTTATCTTGCACCTGTTTCCACGCTGTGCTCTTTGGACGGAAGTCGCTATGCACAGCCCACACTTAAGGAGGGGGGAGTTATGTTCCACTTCCTGGCAGGTGGGGTGTTTATATAACTTATTCGGAACTCTTCTGAACAGGAAAATTGTCTATTCCTCTCCATTTATTTATTTATGCGGTATGATATCTATATCAGTATGGACTCACGGATGCTCATTTTGTACTTTGGGTTCTAATATACTACTTTATTTGAGGCTCAAATTGTTCCACGTTTGGCCATTGGGAGCTCTTTCAATTGGCTCCTGGGTCCCTTTGGCATACTCCCATCACTGTGGAATTTTTTCCCCTTTTTGAGCACTTCCTTACTTTCTGGCATTATAAGATGATCCAGGCTCAACTTGTATATTTCTGCCCCAGTCCTAGAGTCAGTCGTTTCTCCCAGGAGTTCTAGCCCTTCTATTGGAGATGGGATTAGAAACCAGGATCTGGGTGTTCAGTGTGTGCGTTGCTGCTGGGGCATTGTTGCTTCTGGGTCCTCTCAGCTGAGAGAGCAAGGAAACGTGTGTACACTGACCCATGTATGTACACATTTCTATAAATATTGCTATATGTAGCCATCTGTATCTATATTAAGCTAAACAGGAGTTTATGCTGATGCCTCCACCTCTAACCCATAGCCACGCGAATCATTCCAGACTGCTCTCTTGCTTATCTGTAGCCTCCCATGCCAATAGTGAGAAGCCCGGCTGTACCACCCTCACCATTTACATAATTGTTCATTTCCTCTGTACATATGTAGTAGTCTCAGAAATGATAACTCATATCCCTGTGGAAAACAACCTTAGAATCAAGTGTCTACTATGTACAGTTCCTTTAGCCTTTAGTCTTCCAGACACCATTCATTTCTAAAGTTACTTAGGTCAGCATCTTCTTCTACCACCCCTTTCAGAGAGGCTGTTTCGTACATTTTTAATACAGTTAGATTCTTGCGTCACATTCTTCCTTCCATTCTGGTGTTACAAAATCATGTGTGTAAAAAAGATTGTTGGGGGTGGGTGATCAAGAGAACACTATCCCTGGTTGACGCTCCAGCTGGACCCAGGCAATAGGAGACCCCTCACCCCTTCTGCTGTCCTTGTACGCTCTGCCTACCATTCCCACAGTGGGAGCTGTTTTCAGGGAAACGGCCTTGAGAGAGTAAGGTGTTGATGAGACCATCCAGTCAGTGTACGTGACTGAACCCAGTTAAGGCTTCTGCATAAACTTTTAAGATTCTGGCAGAGTGGCTGCCCAGGCAAGCCTTGTAAGTTACTTCCCTTGCTTATTAAACCTGCCGCCTACCAATCTGAAGTGGTTTGCCTCTTTCTTCGGTCTCTCCTTGCCCTGGGTGTACGGGGGCTAGATTGTGAACGAACAAAGTTCCGTTCAAAGTATAGGATAGACCAATGGGTATTAATGTGACAAAGTAGGAAACATTTATTGATTGGGTTTTCAGCTTCCATATTGCAACTAACCACTGAGAAACTACAATCTGTCGAATTTTGGTGTAGTTTCCAAGAATAATACTCACATTTATTTAAAAAGACAAACTACTATTTGTATGAGACTGGGTTTTTTTTTTTTTTCTTTTTTTTGCGGTACGCGGGCCTCTCACTGTCGTGGCCTCTCCCGTTGCGGAGCACAGGCTCCGGACGCGCAGGCTCAGCGGCCATGGCTCATGGGCCCAGCCGCTCCGCGGCACGTGGGATCTTCCCGGACCGGGGCACGAACCCGTGTCCCCTGCATCGGCAGGCGGACTCTCAACCACTGTGCCACCAGAGAAGCCCCAAGACTGGGTTTCTTATACTTCAATCAAAACAACATATTGCAATGCAGTGAATGTAGCAGATGAGAGAATCTTGCTGTCTCCAATTAGCTAGATAGTAAAGAGATTTGCAAAATTTAAAAGGATGCTATGTTTCTCATAAACTTTTACTGTTTTGAAGAACATTATTTCTTCATAAAAATATGTTAATACGTAATGTGTTTTTTATGGTTATTAGAATGCATAAAGAAATATTTAAAAATTTTCTCAGTTTTAATTTCCAATGTGGTAACTACCGATAAGCATAATCTACATAAAATATTGGAGACTCTCTGGAGTCTTCAATAAATCTTAAGAGTGAAAATGGGTCCTTTTTTTTTCTTTTTCTTTTGGCCACGCCTCACGAAATGTGGGATCTTAGTTCCCTGACCAGGGATTGAACCTGGGCCCTCGGCAGTGAGAGCTCAGAGTTCTAACCACCGGACTGCCAGGGAATTCCCAATAAATGGGTCCTAGGTCCAGAAAGTTTCAAAACCACTGCTCTAGGGCAATTTATCTGAGTTTGCCATTATTTACAATTCATTAGCGCCCATGCACTATGAAGATATATGTTAACGTGTAGATTTTAGGCCAGTAGAGATGCAAATCATTTCTATCCACTGGAAAAGATAATCTACATCATTCTGTAGGACACCAGCCAGCTTCATATCCCACCTAGCAATCTTACTCTGTTTTCTCAAAGTGTTGATAAATATCCAGTTTCTCCAAAAGCTTCTCCAAACTAGCTATCTCATATCACTGGTTACTTTACTTAAAATGTATAAATGTTTCACATGTGTTCATTATATATTTGTATGAGTGTTATATTTTTAGTTTAAGATTATGCTTTGACAGACACTTAGGACACGTATACACGCTGGGTGTATACTACGCATACAATGTATATACTACACACAAATACATACGTATGTGTATATTTCACAGGATGGCACGCCAGATTCTCTACTCTGCGCCTAGCTCTTTCCATTTAATATTTGTGCATGCACTCACTTTACATTCTTGTCTTTTTGTATTTATGCACTTCACCTTGCATTTCACCCACGGCTCCGTTATTAACAGGACAGACACCACCCGCAAGCGCTCGCATTTCCTCTTCTGACGCGCCAGCAAAAGGCTCCCGCCGTCCCGCCTGGGGCTCGGGACACCCAGTTGGGAACACAACCCAAAGACCACGTGACAAAAGCGAGGCTCACGTAACACTTGCCCGCATGGCCACTAGGCGCCCTCAGTCCCGCAGCTCCGGGCTTTCTTGCGTTTATGGGCCCACGTCCGCTCCTCTGCGAGACCGCTCGGGAAGCCAGGGGCGGTGGGAGCGGGGCCCGCGTCAAGTCGGCTCAAACTCAGCCCTGCCGAGCCCTACCGAGCCCTACCGCTGGGGCGAACTAGCGCGGACCGGAAGTTTCACGGGCGAGCTGGCTGCCGGAGTCCTAATCACAGCGCACCGGAAGTGGGCCCAGACCGGCGTCCGGGCCGCGCCCGCCGTGAGTGAGCTTCCCTCCGGCCAGCGACGCCATGGAGCCCGGGGCGGCGGAGCTGTACGACCAGGCCCTGTTGGGCATCCTGCAGCACGTGGGCAACGTTCAGGACTTTCTGCGTGTGCTCTTCGGCTTCCTCTACCGCAAGACGGACTTCTACCGCCTGCTGCGCCACCCGTCGGATCGCATGGGCTTCCCGCCGGGGGCCGCGCAGGCTCTGGTGCTGCAGGTAATGCGCGGCCGGCGGGAAGCTCGCGGTGGGGGGGAGGCCGTGGGAGCCCCGACCCCGACCCCAGCGAGCGCGCCCCCGTAGTCCCGACTCTCCGGG